AGCATGAAATATCAATTTTAAAATGCATGCAAATATTAGCAAAAGGAAATTGCATAGAAATAGAACAAGAAAATTTTCCTTGTCTTAATGACATACAAAATTTGTCAGATAATTTTTCATTTAAACTAGGTTCAGAAGAATTAAGTTTAAACTGTTTAAGATATGTGGAAGCTTTAACATTTTTACCAAATTTTGAAAATGAAAGATTATCAAAACAAAACATTTTAAGGTTTTTCGATATATTCAAAAAAATTTTATTCGATGGAAACAAATATTTTTGTAAAGATGAAGTAATTTATTGTAAATTTTTAATAACTGCAATGAGAGGAATTAGTAATTTAATACAGATGTCTGATGATATTATAATCAATAATTTAGGTGAATTATTAGGAATAATAAAGAAGTACATGTTATATGGATTATCAGGGCAAGAAAATTATGAAATACAAAAATTATTTCCTACTTCTACAAGTATTCCTGAAGTTTTGAAACCATCAATTCAGCCTGTGCAGAAAATAAGAGGAAAATATGACAAGATATCAAAAAAAATTACAGTGACATCTTTAAATGATGTTGAAGTTGATGATACAAAAAGTTCCAGTGATTATCTTATACCTTCCGATTATGATAAAAATGATTCTTATTTAAGATACAAAACAAGTGATTCTGATTTATCTGATTATGAAACATTTCAAACAACTAAAATTACTTCATTTAAATCTAGAACTCGACATTGTGCTTTAATATTATTAGCAACTGTTGTTCAAAAAACAAGTCCTAAAATATTTATAGGATACATGCCTTATTTTTTACCTGATGGATCACAATTTCAACATATGAGAACTTTATTGACATGTGTATTAAGTGATCCTTGTTCAAAATGTAGGTGTGAAGCTGTAGGAATTCTGTCAATGATTATTTTTAATTGCAAACAGTATTTTTTATTGGCTGATGGCTTATCAAAATCTTCTTTCACCACTTTCTCATGTACAATAGCTAACATTATAAAAGAATTACATAAATGTTTATTTAATTCATTAGAAACAGAAAAAAATAATGCTAATATAAAGCGTTTATTAAAATGCATATCAGACTTAATTCGATGTACTCCGTATCATAAAGTGGATCCAAGTTTAATAAAAACTATAGCTCAGCAAACCAAACCATTTTTAACACATAAAGATGTTAATATTCAAATATTTGCTTTAAGTGTGTTTGGTTGCATAATTTCAGTAGAACCAAAATTTAAAGAGTTAAATGAAATAATTATTAGTAATGTAAAAAATAATTCTACAATCAAAAGTTCTATTGTAAGTTTAGATGATGAAATTATCGATGATTATGATTTAGATAATGATGAAGAATTTAAAATATCTCAAGAACAAAAACCATGGTTACTAAATCAGTGCCTTCAAAATTTGATGGAAAAAAATAACGTCCATGACACTGTAACAAATGTTGCATTACAAGTAGAATCTTTGCATGTTATCGGTGCTCTAGCAAGAAACTATTTTACTGAGACCATTGTTAGTTATCCAGATGATATTGTAAATTTACTGAAATATTGTTCGAATAAAAATGAATATTCATTAAAGCTTTATTCTGGAAAATTAATGGAAACTATATTTCATTCTCTACAATTTACCATGACTCTTGAAGGTAAAAATGTATGAAACATAACTTTTTTAATTTTTTAAATGTAAAACTTAAAAATGCTTAAATTGAATATTTTTCGAATCTAAACTGTTTTACATTTATTAACAATCATTTATTTTTAATTCAGATGAAAGTAAAAGAGCGTCAATGTCTCTGGCATTATTTTTGTGGGAGTCATTACTACCTGGTCCCATTTCTACATTAATTCAAAATCAAGAAGAGCCTATGCTTCGATGCACTGGATGTGATTGTATAGCCAATATTGGAATTCAACATAAAATTGGGTTTACTTCTTCTGGACAAAATAGTTTAATATTCGATCAAATTTCGGTAAGCAGATACTACGTATCAACGTTAGTAATTTGCTCATTTAATCATAAAAAATAATATAATAATAAGAAAATGTTTATCTTTTAAAAGTAAACATTACTAACGATGTTTTTCTAATATCAAATGTAAGATTAATTATAAAAAGAAATTGGTAATTATTTTGTTGTTTAACCTAATTATTTAGAAAATTAATTATATATAATTAATAAAACTTAAAAAAATAATATATATCAATGACAAATTATGTACTTTTTTCACAAAAAAAAAAAGAATTTTAGAATAGGTTCAATTTCTCTTAAATCTATCCACTGGATTTTATACCTTTGGAAAAACAAAATGGAAATTGAATTTATAAAAATTATTTTGTGAATCAGTAAAATTAATAAAATACCTGGCTAGAATGCAATCGATTAATTTTAATGACTTGTTTTTAATTATTACAGCGAGATAAACAAATAATGTGTTTAACGTTATTATTTGGATGTCTCAAAGATGAAAGTTCGGCCGTTAGAAGTTCGTCTGCTCGAGCTCTCGCCATTTTTGTTCTTTTCCCATCGTTGAGAGACGATAGTTTATTTTTTTTGGATGCAATAGATGCCACAATAGCTGTGTCAAACGACGAACAAAGCACGGTGAGAACTCAGGCCTCATGGCTTTTCGGTAATCTATCCGAATCGATTGTTATTAATCAACAAAACGAAATAGATGATGGTGTCACGATGGACGTTGTTGCAAAACTTTTGAAAACCGGTATCAATTTGGCGAGTGACGAGCCCAAAATCAAGCCCGGAGCAGTGAGAGGCATCGGAAATTTGTTAAAAATAATAAATGAAGACTTCGCGTCGAAACACAAAGATATCATCGTGAACGGTTTGGAAATATTAATAAAAAATTCAACGTCGGGAGCTTTTATGAAAGCCAGATGGAATTCGTGCTACGCTTTAGCCAATTTACTTCAAAATTCTTTAATTAATTCTAATTACGAATGGACATCGAAAATCGTAAACACTATGATTTCTTTAGTTCAACATTATAAAAATTTTAAAGTTCGAATAAGTGCGGGTTCCGTTTTGGGAGCACCTCCAACTCGCGAGAGTTACGGAGGTTTGTACATAACCGTTTGGTCGGCCATTTTGAACGCTTTGGAAAATTCGAAAAACATATCGGATTTTAACGAATATCAACACAGAGATCAATTAGTCGATCAATTGTGTTTGGTTATGTGTCATTTGATCACGTTGATCAAAAAAGACGATTTAAATTCGTTACAAGATATTTTATATTTTCATTTAGATAATTTAGGACATTTTATGAAAAAGTTTCACGAAAGGTTAATCCCGGAAAAAAGTGACGTATTGTTAAAAGCAACGGAAAAAATTCATTTACTGTTTGACGAAAAAGGAATGAATGTCGAAGAAAAAAGCATACTCAGAGTTTTACAAAATTTGTTTTTAAATGAAAGTTGATGATATTTCAATTTGTCAGCACTTTAAAAAAAAAAAAAGAATTCAGTATAATGAAATAAAAATGTTGAGAAAATATTTAAGACAAATAATTACTTTCACTGATTTTCTATTAAAATAAATCATTGATAATTTTTTTAAATGTTCTATTATGCCAATGGCTGCTCAGAAAAATATTTAAAAATGATTTTAGCATTTATAAAAGGCAAAAAAGTTTAATTTATTAACCCAAAAGTATCTAACACAGTCTGAATTATTGATTTTGAAAATTTGATTTTCTACAAATCACAAAAGTAATTGTAATGTCAGAAATTTTTAAGCAATTAAATATCCAAAAAAAAAAAAAAATGAATTTTGTCGTTTTCTTATTACATATTTAAATATGCTAATCGGAATAGAATTATTATTAAATTATTTTCATATTTGTTTTTAAAACTTGAAATATTTTCTAACAATTGATTAATAAGAGAATATATTTTATTTATGATATTGCAAGACTTAAAAGAAACAATTACCTCAATGCCTAATTCTAGGCAGACATCACATTAAATTCCAAAGAAATTTAAAATAAATCTTAGTTTTGTGTGACGCTTTTTTTTTTTTTTTAAATTGTGTAAAATATATATGTATAAAAAATAATGTATAAATATTAATTGTTGTACTACTATTAACATTTTTATATATATGAATTTATGAAATAAATATAAAATAATGTATGTTAATCTTACCAGATTAAAAATATGTACATTTTTCTTAAAAGTTTTTCAAATTATTCTCCAAACTTTAATCCTTTCTTTACTTTTTGCAATTACTAAGCGAGTAGTTCGATATGACAAATCATAATGTGTTTCACAGCTCAATGATTGCAATTCGATATAAATTCTAAAAAAATGTTGACATTTTATAACTAACCATTTTATTTACAATAAAAAATTATTATACTAATATTTTTAGTTGTGATAATTATAATATTACCATAATTTTTTAAAAATTGTCATTCAACTAGCATCATTTTCGTCTTTATCAGAAGAATCTTCATCGGTATCATCGTTTTCACTTTTTTGTTTTAAAGTTTCATTTTCAATTTTGGGTTTTTTTTTCCTATTTTTCATTTTTTCTTTTTTTTTCAGTCTTTTAGCCCTTTTTTTAGCTGTCCTTTCTTCAGAAATTTTTGCATTTTCTTCTAATTTTTTTTTATATGCTTCATCAAGCATTTCTTTTTCACTTTTTTGTTGAATGTATTTTTGCCTAGCATATTCTTTTCTTCTCAAATGTCTATAAACGTGAAATTCACCACTTCCTGCTCCTGCACTTGATCCCATAACATTTCTTATAAATTCTGGAACATGTGACATACTCTTTTCTTTTGGTCTTTCAGGAATTACTACAGGTTTGTCCTAAAATTTTAACAATTAGTAAGTAAAATTTGAGCTTTCAGGTAAAAAAAAAAAAATAAGCTCTGCATTTTTTAAAATTATATACTGATGAAAAATAAATACTGTTAATTACAAGACAAACTATTAAATTTATTTTACTTATTTAATGATACTTACAAAATTTTTCATCAATTTTTCTAATTTCATTCTTTGTAAATCAGAACATTTTTTTAAAGCCACAGGTTTTTCATTTATAGTTTCAGTCTTTTTTTCTAAATTATCTTTATTTACTTTACTATTCATTTTTTTTGTTAAAAAGTATACTTAAATAAAATAAGAGGAAATAAAAATAATTTGAAATAACATAACCTAAGTTGCTTTCACACAATGTTTTTTTTTTAAATAATTTTTTTTATTTAAAAACGTGAAGCCTTTATTACACGAAAAATAATTTTCATCACATTTTGATAAAATACTTAATTTAAAAACAAAGTAAAAACACTAAAAATTATATGACACTTGTCAATACATAACATTTTTATGAAGTAAATATCCGATATTAATATGGCGTATTCTCCCGCCAAAAAGTAGACATTTTAAATTATAGCCAATAGACGTAAATAAGTGATAGGTTGTGTATAAGTACAAATAAAATTATTTTAAATATTTTTTTTTTTTTTTTTGTACAAGCTTTTTTACGGATAATAAAAGATTAATGAATTCATAAACATTATAAAAAAATTTAAACAAAAAAAAAAAAAATTTTGTTGTAAAAGTAATAAAAGTTTTTCTTTTAAATAACATTATATATGTATGTAAAATTTTAGAGCATAGACATTTATTATCAATTTGAAATATTCAAATTCAAAATGGCGGAAAGGTAAATTTTAAAGAAATAAAAATTTTTCGTACCTTCTTAATTCATTTAAATCATAAATAAAAATAAAAGTAAAAATTACAAAACATATGTAACCCCTACAAAATATACAAAATGGGTGCGTATATCTATTAATTTATTTTTATTCATAATAAATTATTTCAAAAATAATTTCAAAACAAAACTAAAATTTTATTTTTTAAAAGTTTTATTAAAAGTTAAAAAAAGAAAAGAAGTATGGCCTAGTTTCACGAAAAATTTAACGAGTACACCTCAAGATTTTAAACCACCTGTTAACACAGGTCAAAATGTCAGTAAATATCTCAATAATATATATATTTGTATACTATTTTATAAATACTTTTTAAATATAGATACGCCATTGTTGTTTAAGGTAAAAAAAAAAAGTTAAAAGGTTTTTTTTTTCCCCTTTTTTTTTTAAGGATATATATTTAGGTTCATTATTTTTTGGAATTTGTGAAGATTACAGTCATCCTCTTCATTCAATAAATTTAGCTGATCATAAAATAAAAGAACATCTGATACCATCAAAAGAAAAATTTATAAATAATTTTTTTGAGGGTATTTTAAATATTTATATTTAATTTTTTTTTTTTTTTAAATTTCTTTTTGCACACATATTTTTTTTTTTGGTGATTTTTAGTTGAAAAAATTCAAAAGCGTCGTTATATACATCGAGAATTTAAATTAAAAATATCAAAACCGAAAAAAGATTTTAAAGATTTATTTATACACAGATGTCCTGGTACAAAAAAAATATTTAAACCTGATATTAAACCGATCGTGAGAGATTTTGGTGAAACGTCATCAAAAATAATGACGGAAATATGTAGAGAAATACAATATTGTCGACTTCGAAGACTTTCTTCTAGGTTAATTTCAAAGAAAATTAATCAAAGTCATTACTTTAATATATATATATATATACATGTATAAATATTTGTATATTGTAACTTTATGTATTAAAAATTTATTTAGAAATTTGAAAGATAATGAAAGCGAAAAGGAATATATAACATTATCAGATGTGAGAGAAAGAAATAGAAAATATATGAGTCCAGAGGAAAGGTACGACATTTTTTTTTTTTTTTTTTTTTTTTATTGCAAAAGGAAAATAATAAAATAAATCAAAAATTAAATTTTAGAATGGCTCACGCACATTTTCCAAAAGAATTTAAAATGATCGAATTATGCGGTCCGAAAATTCCAGCTTCCCTTACCATATCGGAAATACCATTAAAAAGAGGAATAATACCTGAATATAAATATAAATTTGCATCGAAAATAATAAATAATAGTTTTAAAATTATTGAAAATCCTAACGAAACCTATGGAGGGAAAGTAGAAAAATTACCTAGAAAAAAATTAATTGACCCAAAAGAAAATCAAAATTATATACGCGTAAGTGATTATGTTTCCTCAAATGCTTTATTCAGTCAAAATAAAAAAGAAGAAATAAAAGAAGAAAAATACGAAAGTCAATCGGAAAAAAGTGAATCGGAAGAAAAAACATATGTGGAAAACAGTGATGAAACCTTGAGTGAATATTCTGAAGAAACTGAAGAATCTGAATATGAAACTGATTAATATGATATTTAAAAAATTTAATAATTTTCCATTATAAATTAAATAAAAAAAATATTTTTCATCATTTTTTTTTTTAGTTTTATTTATATTTAACTATTAAGTATATCATAAAATGATACAAATTATTCAAATTATATTTTACCTAATTAAAATTTTATTAATTTTTTTAATTTTTATTAATTTGTACGCGGGTTAAACATTAAATTTAACTTGAAAAAAAAATTTTTAATTAAATAATTTAAAGAAAGTCAAATTTTTATTAAAAAGTTTTCGACACAATAATGGATGTAATAAAATGGCGAATATTATTTGAATTTAAACTTATATTTATATTATTTAATTTAACAAGTTGATCACACAGGTATTATTTGTTATAATTTTTTTTTTTTAAATTTAATACTAAAAAAAAATTTAATATTTTTGTTTTGCATAGAATTCGATCATAATTTTTTTTTTTTTTTGAATTGTTTACAATAAACAAATTGTAAAAAAAAAAAAAAAAATATTTTCGTCGCAAAATTTTTACGTTTTCTTTGTTTTTTTTTTTTAAACTCTATTATTATATATAAATAATTAATTAAAACATATAAATAATTTTTTAAATTTAATTTTTTTTGTTACTCTGTTGTAATGAATCGTTATTTAAAAAAACTATCACATAAATCGTTTTTATATCGTTAAAAATTAGTAAATATTTACAAACACAGAAGTGTCATGGATAGGTAAATTAATATCACAATTATTACGGTAGTCAGAGTTATTAGTGAGTATCAAACACGTGATAAATTTTAAATAAATTTTTATGTATGTTATGTACGTTTTAAAAATAATTATTAAAAAATTTTTTTATTTACAGTTATCTGAACTGATGGGAGACGAATTAAATATATTTAATTTGAATATAATAATAACATGCGTAAATCACGACAAAGATCGGTGGCCATACAAAGTACCGATTTCACAGACGTCGAATCAGAAAACAATCCAATAACGAGTATATTATGTAAAAAAACCGGATTCAGAGATCTCCTACAAAAGTCTGTCACGATCGTATCCGAGGAAAATGAAAGCAAAAATGTAACCGTGATTGGGAAAAAAATGGCGAGAGGAGTACAAGCGACATTGGGTAAAAATCCTGCAGTACAAAATCAATCAATTCATGATAAAAGTAATTTATTGTTTCCTGAATCTGTGGGTTCGGAGACTGTAAGAGTGGTGAACAGGGGTAGCGGGTTACCTGGAACATCAAAAATTACATCAACAACCATCAGTTCTTATTCAATGTATTCTCAGGTATATAATATGTGTTATTATTAAAAAAAAAAAAACATAATTTTTGACGGACATAATATGTAACCGTTTACAAGAACAGATCAATGATATTTATCGGCAACCTCAAGAGGAATCGATAGCTGTTGTTAATATATATGACGAAAAAGGTTTACCATCATCATCAAATTTATTTCATTATGGACCACAGGTAAAAAATTACAATTTGATTTTTTTTTTATCATTGTTTTAAGTTTATCACATTTTTTTTTCCTTCTAAAGGGACCGCGACGATTTTCTGACGAAACCGTACTATTAATAGAAGATTATCAATCATACGATTACACAAATACTGCTGGAAGACAAAGTCATGCAAGCAGCACAGGAACACAAAAACAATTTACATGTTGTGGTATAAGAAAAAGTAAGAAGTCATTTTTTTTTTTTTTAAAAGTCGATTTTTGAAGCTCAATAAAAAAAATTAATTTTTTGTTTTAACAGAAAGAAATTCGCATTATTCATTTCGACCTACTCCATTACAAGAAAAAAATGCTGATGAAAATGAAGTAATCGTTTGTAGAATTTGCCACGATGATGAAAGTTTAGAACCGCTAATACAACCATGTTTGTGTAAGGTAATAGAACCCATACAGGAATTTTTTTCGCTGTGAGATTACAATAATAATAATAATGATAATTTTAGGGTTCCATCGGATGCGTTCATGCAAAATGTTTAAAAATATGGTTAGAGCAATCAAACACGAGTCGTTGTGAGCTCTGTGGTTATCCTTATGCCATCAAACAAACAAAAAAATACACCAAATGGGTTTCTTTGAAAGTTTTTTTTAAATCAGTTGCCGACAGAAGGTTACCCGTATTACGATTATTATAACCGATTGATAAACCCCCAATAATAATAATAATAATTAAATAAATTAAAATTAATATACTTACAAATGTTAATTTTTTTTTTTTTTTTTTTCAGGACTTTGATATACGATGCTATTTCTTTCATAGTAATAACTCCTTTAACTCTGGTAGGTGTCATAATGTGTCTGAGAGCTTCTTTTTTAACACCAACAGAAGAATTTTTAAATTCAAATATTCAAATGGGAAACATAACAAAAGTTGGAATGATTATGTTAAGTGGAACGATTTCAGTAGCTTACGGAGTTTGGCTATACACATTAATATCATTTCATTATAAGGTAAATAAAAAAAAAAATAATAATAATAAAAATATATGAAAAATTTGATGATAATAAAATAATTTGAATTTAGACTTGGAAAAAATGGTACAACAATTGTTTCGACGTCGAAGTACTTCCAATAAGAATGACATCGGAAGAAAGATTAGAAGCAAGTCAAAGATTGCAAGAAGATATTGGAAGAAGATTACGTTCAAGAGAACTTGGTTCAGCCATAACATCACTTTATCCTCCACATAATTACGGCCCACTAAGATTATCTTTAATCGAATCAGCTCGTTCATAAACGTTCCATCAAATTTTTATTTAAAAAAACACGATTAAAAATAATTTTTGTATTTTTTTTTTTTTTTTTTAAATTACAACAACAACAAAAAAAAAGCGGGAAAAAATTTCAAAAAAAAAAAAAAAAAAAATAGATTGATGTTAAGTGTTGTTTAATTATAGTATAATAATATAATATGTATATAAAATGTCAGTGCTTATAAACAAATTTGTTTATTTGCTATTTATATATATTATTTTTATTAATAATTTATATTATAATAACTCTAACGCTTTCTCACATTTTAACCTTTTGACATTTATTATTACAATACCTAATTTTTTAAATTATTATTATTATTTCGTTCAAAATTTAAAGGTCGCGATTGTGTGTCAGTGTCAATTTTAACTGTTGACATCATTTGAATGACGTCATTTATATCAATCAGTTATTTATTTATCATAAGGAAAATGAGTACAAAAAATTTTTAATTTTTTTATATATAAAAAAAATTATTTTATATTTAAATATAAGCCATATTATTTATAATAATAAAATAAATTTTACATTAAATAACACTTAATAAAATTTATTAAGAGAAAATATATATATAAATATACGCAGAAAAAATATATATATATATCGAAGTGGATGCCTGCCACAATAATAATAAATAAATAAATAAATATATATTTATTAATATTAAAAAATTTTTTTTTTTTAAATAAAAAAAGTGTTTTTTTTTTTTTTAATAGAAAAAAATTATTGGAATGGAAGGAATAACAAACAAACAAACAACAACAACAACAAAAAGCTCCCCACTAACAAAATTTAATCAAATTCTCACTGTCGATTTAACATTTTCCTTTTTTTCTTTCGATGCCCTCAATTTTTTTTTTTTTTTTTTTATTAACCTTACTAAACTTTTAAATAAAAATAAAAAT